ATCCTGCAAGGTTGGATGGTGGGTCCAGGTGGGCGGGGCTTGGGGCGTGGCTGAAAGTAGTGACTCCTTTGTTGTGACATCACAGAGTTCCAGAAGTCCTGACGGCTGGTTTTAAGGCTCAGTTTCTGAATACAGGCTGTGTGCATTTCTCTGTGGACTGAGGCTTTGATACTTTCACAATAGAACCTTCACCTGCTTTATAATCAAAGAAGACATAGAAATCTACCTTTATACAATATGGGACCTTTAAATTATCCAGGATCTTTTGATATTGGAGCACACAGAACAAAAAAAAAACTTTAAAACTTGAATTTTAAAGTGCAGAATCTGCAGTTTGCCATTAACAAGGACTTGACCTGTCCACTGTGGCTGCTGTCACTCATCACTCTCACTTGCAGGAGCTGGAAGCCTCACACATCAAGTATTTCCGGAGAATCCTCAGTGTAACCTGGTGTAACTCAGTCCCATACACTGACACTCCAACAAGAAGCAGCTGCACAAGTATGGAAGCCACCGTAATTGGCTGGTGGGGAAAATAAAAGGTTTAGTGACGGCCAGTATAAACGGCGCTCTGAGGATGTGTGGAATCTAGCACACAAACCTCAAACACACGGCTGTGGAGCTTTATGAGAGGAGATGATTGATAACATCTGACATTCAGTAGACCGAAGCACCTTATGGTGCTATTAATGAGTATGTTTTCCTCCAGTTTGAATGAAACCACAAACTCTGGCAGCGTTGGTGCCGAAAAGTCAAAAGGTGACTGAGGCCATGAAGCAAAATCATCACATAAGTTGATGACACAGGCTCCTGCAGCACCACCTAATTCATATTATGCATTCCACATCTGCAACACAATGCATGACACTTGACGTTGGCCTGAAGTCAGTGAAGATCTCATAAATAAAACCGAGGTGGACGTCATCACTGGAAGCAGCGGAGCCCCATATGTATGCAGGAATGTGTAGTGTGGGTGTGGTGGCGGGTTGGCTGGCCAGGGTTCATAAACATTAGGACCAGTTCAGGGAGAGGTCAGAGGAAAAGCTGTTGGCCGAGCACCGTGGAAGACCCACGAGATACAGAACATCCAAATGTCACCAAACTTCCCCCCGCCCAAGCCCTCTGGGGAAAACAAAGGGGGAAACGTGCGCACGTTCCCCGATGACGAGGGCTCGAGCACGGATATGGCGAGGTCACGCAGAGGGAGCGGAGGTTACGGAGGGCCGGAGGGGGAGGAGGAGAACTGGAGGATGCAGATGTGCGGTGGAGAAGAGAGGCACGATGGGAGGAAATACAACAAGCTATTGTTTGGAGAGGGGAGGACAGGAGCGGACCCACGAGAGAGGCAGCTGAGGACTATTCACCAGAGTTTACTTACACACACACACACACACACACACACACACACACACACACACACACACACATACATAAAAGCATGACCAGCTGATAGACTTTCACCACTGGTCATCTGATCCTGGTGAGTAAAGGTCACTACACATTCGAGGAAGTCGTGTTCAGACATGAGAATGGCGCTGATCCTCTCCTTTAACTCTTATAATATACTGTGAATAGAAAAATAAATGACAACATTATCTATTGATGACAGGACTATATTCTGCATATATCTATAGAAATTTCAATCCCTGTTGAAAATGATGATGCATTAAGAATATTGCTAGATTTTCTAATTAATTAGAGTGAATTATCTGTCTAGCTGCAAGTTCCAGGGACTTTGGGGACAAGGTAATCTAAAAGTAATTGAAAGGAGGCTGGTTATTTTCCTAAAGTAATTAAATCAGCGGATTATTATGAGAATAAACAGGTCAACTGTGAGATGGGTCAAGTGAGGATGAGCCCCCTCAAGCATTTACTAGAAAGATTCACTGATGAAAAGATTTATGACAGTGGAAGAAGAGAAACTGCTCTGCGGCTGTTTCGATAAGAAGCTGTCAATCTCACACGGGCCTACGATAAAAATCGCCATTACCTAACTGAACCCTGCGACCGAGGGTCCGCGCTCTGCACCGCCGCTACTTCTCGGCTGTGCAAACAAGCCCAGTTAATCTGGTGCAAAAGCTCACCACTGTGTCTTTGCTCAACTCAACATGAACTGGTCTAGCAGGAATGCAGTGTTGTGAGGAGACACAACATTATCACTGAGTAGCTGAATATACGGCTTCATATGCAATTGTCAGTTGCAAAGACTTGTGAGACAGTCTGACGAGGTGAAGCAGAGCCATTTAACCACACACTAATACTGTCAGTGGTCGGATGGGGGGGGGTTCACGGAGCTGTGGGCGGGGTTGAGTAGAAACAGACTACTTGTTAATTAATGTTTCATAATCAAAACACAAAAAAAACGCTTTGTGTTCTGACGTGTTCCTTAGAATTGATTTTGACACCAAAAAAGGAAAACTTCAGAAGTGGAAAGAGGAATTTCAAGTGAGGTAACAGCGGTGGTGTTCCACATCTTCATGTGACACATTACAGCCAAACAAATGATGTGTGAATGGGTTGGTTTCAAAGTAACTGCAAGTCATCAGAATACATGGTTGCAAAGAGCACGGCCAGGATTCTCACGAGGGGCAGCAAGATAAATCTGAGGAGTCATGAGAGAAAAACTTAACAGACAACACAAAACTATTTATTTTGTTTGCTTTTTTTTCTTATGAAATACTGAAAGGCTCTAAAAGTTATTTTTAAGCCAAAGATTGAACCACGCCCTTTGGTTACATTTATTCAAGTGTGCAACTGACAATTATTTTTATTATCTTCTAATTGTTTGGTTCATAATGTGTAAGAAAACACTGAGAAAAAGCCCATTACAGTTTCTGAGAGCACTGAAGTCTTCATAGTGCTTGCTTTGTCTGACCTGCTGTTCAAAATGCAAAGATATTCAACTGACAGTGATGTAAAAACTGCAAAACCTCATATGTGCAACATTTTTGCTTGATATAAAACTTTTTAACTGATTATCAAAAGTGTTAATTGTTAAAAAATAATTTCATTTGATTAATAGATTCAGCACTATATTGCTGATTATAATATTGTGGAAATAAAAAGCTCCAGTACTGGAATACATTTAATAAGTAATGTGCAACCCTGGCTGCAATTTCCTTCACAATATAAAAAATATCAGACAAACAGACTCACACAGTCACAATGTTGTTTCCTCTCTCTCTCTCTCTCTCTCTCTCTCTCTCTCTGTCTCTCTCTCTCTCTCTCTCTCTCTCGCTCTCTCTCTCTCTGGGCCTGTCACAGCAGATACCTTTGATCTCTCTAATCAGAGAACATCAGGAAGAAATTTTGACAGACTCAGAGGTGGGACTCCCTGCCCCCCCTCTACACACACACACACACACACACACACACACAGACACTCTCAGCATCCAGCACCATGTGAGCCATGCAGCCCAGGGAGACGGTGCTCAGAGAACAATGTGCACATCTCACTCACTGGTGACACCTTTTTCGCGAGAGGCATTACCGTCATGTGCGTAGCTATTACAAAGCTTTGAGGTCTCGGCAGAGCAGCGCTGCAGAGCGTACAGTATGATAATTATTTACACATGCGGAGAATGACAGAGAGCAGGCGAGCAGACTGTTAAGCAAATGTTTTTGTCATAGCCTCAGTAATGTGCTTTTACAATCCTGATGTCCGGACAGCTGGCGAGCCGAGACTGGCAGCCTTCCCTGAGAAACCAGAGACGCCGCCTCCACCGAACCAGCAGGGAGAAGTGTCTTACACCACACGTCCACAGCATTCCTCCTATAGCAAACACGCTCACAAAACCTCTGGCAGTATGTGTCTGTGTTCACAGGGATGAGTGACATCAGCTGGATGATATTGTGTGTACAAAAACATTTGGGATTCCTCTGTGACCGCCGATCCCACAACTATGAGTCTGTTAGCTGTCAGTCAGCTCTGGGGAAACTACATTTTAATGTTAATCTTTCGAATTCATTCATTTTTAGGATTATTGTGTTAATGCCAAGGGACACATCCACACGGGTTGGCGTTCTCCCAAAGCTCTCTGTCATTTTTTTTTTTTTGTCTCCTAGATAGAAAACAGGCTCAGGTTTCATTACTTGCTTACATCCCTTCGACATCTACACCTACTCACGGTCCCAAATGTCAAGGGATCTCTTTGTGACTCCCTTCGCAGAGAAAGAGTGGGAACCAGAGGAAAAGTGAGAGCTGCACACCGGCAGATAGCGAGAGAGAGAAACAGGGAGAGAGCAATTTTTCCTTTTTTTTCTTGGCTAATGTACTTCCATTCTCTCCAGCTGGCCTGATTGTGTAAATACAGCAAAATCAAATGCTCTCAGGCTCCGTGCATCACACCCCAAAACAGGTGCTTCTACTCCCTCAATCCCCATCTTTTTTCCCACCCACTCACGCTGAACTTTGACCTTACAGTCCAGGTGGCAGGTGCTCCAGTAATAGTGCAGAGAGTGCACTCGCTGAGCCATATCTTATACTAATGAACAATGGGACCTTCTCCAGCAGCCATAATTTATATAGAAAAGAATAGCATAAACAGGAGGCGCAGAGAGGGAAGGAGTCTGGTAAATATAACAGAATGTTTCCTCAATGCCACCACACAAGTTTGTGTCTTTTTGTCTTGAGCTTTTGCAGGGGATTTTTAATAGACGCTACTGTGTGACTCCTTAAGACAGAGAAGTTAGAGAAGCTGGGCTGACACTGAGATCAAACTGATTAAATGTGGTTTTCAGCTGCAGGATCTCAACATGAACTTATATTGGAACTTTGAGTCACTAACAGTTACTCATAGCTACTGCAGTAAACAGGAAAACAATGTTTGTTTTAGTTTTTGAATTAATTATTAATCAATTTATATTGAATCCACCCATCAGTGAAATTAATGACCTTTCATGGAGAGTGATGCATCCAACCCCAACCTGAGGCTGATGTAAAATAAAAGAGTTTATGTGTCCCCTGTGTGTGTGTATGCATTTGTATTTTGGCTCTGCACCTGCAGCAGAGTGGACGAGGACGCTCTGGTTGGGCCGGAGGTTGCCGAAATCAAACAGCATCATGTAGGCGGTGACGTAGTTGACAGGAAGGGCCGCTGCCTCCTCGAAGCTCATGCCCTCTGGGATGAGGAAGGTGTGGGTTGCCGGCACCACCGCCACCTCCTGCCAGAGCCCGAAGCGGTTCAGCACCATCACCTTGTCACCGACCTGGAACAGAAAGAACAGGGAGAATAAAGGTGAGGCAAAGGGCTCTCAATCAATCTGCACCAATTTACAGTTAATGAAAGCTAATGTCATGCTAATGTCGTGTTTGGCTCCAGTAATTTGATAAAACAGAAATTTTAATTTGATTAAAAAAAAAAAAAACATGTCCAAATATTGAGTCAGTGAAAACCCTTAAGCATCACAAGTTGTGCCAAAAATATTACAGTGTTTGAACAATAGCAGTCAGCTAATACTAATGGACAAATGGCTGAAATAGCCGGTTGACAGGCTGAGATGTCCAGCTTCAACCAAACTGAGCTAAACACTGACAGTTCAACTTGTGTAAAAATATATTGAAACATCCATTTTTATATCAGTAATAGTTAAAAAAAAAAAAAATCATGCACTTGCATCAGTGGTGGGTGGTAAATGGCTGAAGGGGTGCTTGAGTTCATCTGACCGGGACAATGACCGGGCTACATCTGACACAAAAGGGTTGGGAGCCACAGCTCTAATGCACCGGAGAAGCAGTGAGATATTGGACTGTTCTGTAATTATCCTCTTCTAATTTGTACGGGCCACATGTCCAACAGTGAAACTGGGTTATTACTAAGCCAAGGCTAAAACTTTGCTTTCTATAATTATTTGTTTTTGGAAAAAGGAATCAAGTCCTGGGGTCAGAGCTCAATCTCCGGTACAATGACAGCATAGGGATAACTTAGAGTTTAAGACCACTTTAAAAAACGAAATCCTACAATATCTAAATCAATAAATGAGGATCCACTGACGGTTCAGTGCCCCAGGAGGTTTCACCACCAGAGCCTGATGTAGTTTGGAGCATCCCTCCATCTGCAGCCTCACAGTTTCTTGTTTCTTTGGCAACATGATAAGAGCAGTGCAGCAGGAACAGTGTGAATGTGGTTTATTGTTTTGCTTACAACAACGGCAGACATGCAAACATGCAGCCACCTTGTCCAACAAACCTCAAACAGTTTGCTCTTGAAGAGTGCAAGCAAACAGGGAGAGCGATAACCCACAGCAGAGTGCGGGTAGTAACCAAGGCTGCGTTGACTTTATAGAGAAGCTAATGTGTTTTTTTTTTCTCTCTCAGCTGAAGTTTGACCATAGCAGAGGCGTCAGAATCTCTCTTCATGTGATAAAATATGTGATGATCATCTAAGATTTAGCCGTTTCAATGCTTCAGAACCACTGTTGTGACAGTGAGGAAGCCACGGGCGTCATTAAACACGCTGCACGTCCTGATCTCCACGTTGTCATTTTCGGCTCCAAAACTATCCTTATCAAAGCAGGATCCTTCGATACACAACTGTCTCTTTCCAGAAGGACGAACCCTGATGTAAACTTCCCCCCCAGCGCTCTAACTAACCAATCAGGAGAGCCCACTCGAGGAGCACAGGAAACAGAGACGACTGCAGCATTATAAGCCTCTTCCTGTTTTCTTCCTCCCCCTTATCCACCTCTCTTGACACCGCTCTCCCCTCCCGCCCCGTTTCCATTCTCCTCACTTTTTCTCTTCCCTTCTTTCTCTTTCACTTCCTGACTGCTTTTCCTCTTACAACTTTAGAACGTCTTCCTTCCCCTTCTCCGGTCTCATCCTGTCTGCGCTTCGTTTTTTTGCCGCCTTCTTTTGACGCGCCCTCTTTCATCCCCATTTCTTCAACCTCCGCTGTCTCTTTCTGTCTTCACCGTCCTCTTTCTTCTTTCCCTCGCGAGGAGTGTCCCGTATCCCCTCTTCCTCATCAGCGAGACAGGACAATGGGGCCCATCTTCTCCCCTGGCTTCTCTCCACTCATCAGAGTCCCTGCCAGATTCTTCCCCATGGCTGAGCATAAGACAAGCTCTCTCCTCCTGGGAACAAACCCTCTCTACCCGGGCCTCTCTAATGGTCTGGAGGGAGCCATGCGCCTCGCTGTCTATCCACTCCAATTAGAGAGATCTCCCTCTCGCTTTCTCTTTCATACCCGCATCTTTCTGTCTGAGGCCGAGTCATTCGGTTTATTTCCAAAACTGTACGCTCACTTTTTCCCCGTGAGCCACTTCTCTCTCCTTCCCTTTGTTATCCATGCTGACTCTCCCATCTCCATCCCCTCTGTTCTTTTAGTCTTCAAACTCATCAGCCTTGCTGGTTTAATTGGGGGTACAGTGTGGCACAAATCGATAGATGGAGGAGTTCAGGCTTTTACAGGAAACACACACACACACACACACACATACACACACAAACACACACAAACATGACTCACACACCGCATTCAAATGCATCTGCAGCTATTCTTCCATGCCCACGTAAAGCATGAGAGTTACTGTCAGTCACATAGAAACTGGTTAGGAACATTCAAGGCCAAGCCAACGAAGCCTTGTGACACTTCTGTTACAACATCTTCACAGTGTGACACACAAGCGCGTCTCGCATTTCCTTTCTGAGCCTTCACGCATCGCATGTAGTCAAGGCTGGGGTCATGGGTGCAGAGGGGAGCTGAACAAAGACACTTCCAGTTAACTGTATATGAATAGACTTAATCAGACGGTGATTCAGTTTTGGGGCATGTGGGGCCTCCAAGTCAGCTGCTTTGTGGCTTTGGAGATTTGATGATCTCAGCAAAAAATTATCAGGGAAAAAAGAAAAAAAGTTGAGTCAGGTTGAGGCAGAAGATGAAGGTTAAATATAACACCCACACAGCCCTCATGGCACCGGTGAACATAATTAAAAGAAAAGATAATATCTCCCTGGTGTCAGTGTAAGTGTTGCTGTGCTTTATCACAGTTTGTATGATGGTTAGATGAGAAGCCACGCCCAGCTCGCGCAACATCTGTGACAGGAGGACCCACATGCTGCTGTGCGCAAAATATCCTGCAAAATAGAAACATCTGATTTTCTTCTTTAACCCAGCAGCTTATGGCCAAGTGTCAGCAGGCCATGTAGAGAGTGAACGCAAGTGAAGGGGACATGCAGGATGGAAGAGCAGGACAGGGAGACGTCCCGAAGGACAGAGTGGTATAAAATGAGGGGAAGGAGAGTGGATGGCATGAAAGAAGGGATTCACCCACAGCACAGTTGATGGAGGAAGAATCAAGGGATTATATGAAGGAAGGAGAGATAGATAGAGAGAGGGAACGAGGGATGGAGGAAATACCAGACTGACAATGTAGGCCAGAGGGAGGTAATTGAGAACATATGGGTCAGATCCTACCAAAACTCACAGAGAGGAGAGAGAGCATGAAAAATGAGAGGTCTGGAGAGGAAAAAAAAAAAAAAAAAGTGCTGATGTTTGGTGTCACAGGAGCTTCGCTGTGATTTGTGATGTTTCCCGTCTTTCTTCGCTTACTCACTGTTATACTTTCCCCCCCTGCACTCCCTCCTGGGTCATTTCGGGTGAGCTCATTGTAGTAGCTATTACTTCACTCAACTTTATTGTCCTTTTAAAAGGACGCTTGTTTAGCCGCAGTTATTGGAAGACTCGCCTCTCAAATGTCTCTCATGTCTGTGTGGGAAAGCAGCAGGCACTGACATCGGAGAACATTAGGTTTCAGAACTGTATTGAAATGTCGAAAAGATGAAATAAAAATCAATCACACTTCGCCCAGCCACTGATGTTTATGTTGCACTATCTAATTAAATGGCATAGCTCTGAGCAAACATTCAGACACACCCATTATTGTATGTCTTTGAGTGCATATATATGTGTGTGTGTGTGTGTGTGTGTGTGTGTGTGTGTGTGTGTGTGTGTGTGTGTGTGTGTGTGTGGTAAACAGAGGCAGACTGGTGAAGCTGCAGCGAGTGACTTGCCTCCCAAAAATCCAGTACCATCAGGGTCAGCACATTCCCTCTGAGTTAGCTGCCAAAAGATCTCAGAGATCTCCATCCATTAGCAAGATTGGCTCTTAATTTTATAAGCTGAGGTATACAAGAGGGGTGTGGAAGTGTGAGGCCTTGATGGCAAGCTGTGTGTGTGTGTGTGTGTGTGTGTGTGTGTGTGTGTGTGTGTGTGTGTGTGTGTGTGTGTGTGTTGTGCTTGACCTTTAAATCCAATCTACATCACCGACAATGTGGAAAGAAGCAATCAAGTATTTTAGAGACACAAGTGTTTTAACCTTCTGTGATCCCTGGCTGACCCATCACCAATCACACCCCCATTACTCTGCACACTCTCCACATGGATCCGCACTTGACAGACACATGTGCCACTCCCAGCCAGATGCACCGATTCTGCACTTGCACCGCTACATGTGATCAGCGCGCGCGCGCGTGTGTGTGGGGGTTTATGACTGATGTGAGAAAATGTGTAACAACAAACGGCGTGAGTCAACACCGGCTGATGTGTTAACATTTTGGGCTTTTGTAGCTTAATTGTCTTACCGAAGGCGTTGCCTTGGTGATGCCATGCAGCCAGTGTACAGACACACACACACACACACACACACACACACGCGGGCCTGTGACTCATCATGCAATGCAAGAAATCGACAAATAATCCTCTTTCGATCAGCACATTATCCTCGTGGCTGAACATGAAAGAAAAAGTCTAAGTCATTTTTATTTGATTGTTTCTCTGACTTGGCTTAATTGTGTGTGTGTGTGTGTGTGTGTGGGGGGGGGGGTTGAACTTTAAATCGCAACATATTGATGACTGTATTTTTTTTTTTACACAACCGATGCGATTGACTCTCTGTTGACAAAGAGGACGAGTGATCCCATCTCTCATGCCATGCTGTCTGTTGCGTCGCGCCTCGCCCTTTCCGCTCGGTGAGTCTGTGCGCCACCGTCGCTCCCGGTAACAAAAGGCGTCGTTGACTCCGCGCTCGCCACCGGTGTCAAGTCAGCCATATTAATAACTGTGGCTCGTCGAACTCTCCAAAATAAAAGTCCTTTATTCATCAACATTTTGGAAAGCGAGCGCAGCAAAGCATAGGACACATTGCTGTCATCCACAGTGCTATTTTTACAGTTGTACTTAGAGCCAAGCAGGCCTAAGCAGGATAAGGTACAACTGCAGACTACAGCCTATGTGTGTAGGCTTACTGTATTATATTTTTGCAGCTCCAGTAAACTGTATTACACTTTATCATTTTACATAGTCACCATTCCTTCTTGTATGATGGTTTTCATATTTTCAATTTCTCTTATTTTGTCGTCACAATAAGACAAAAAAAAACTCTTAAAGCGACTTTAAAGCTTTAATTTTGAAGGCGGAGAGTCTAATTTCCGGTTTTATCGTGGCTGTCTCTGGCTCACTTGACGCAGCTCTCCGCGCCCTGGCGCACATCAAAGCTCACGCAGCGTAGGTGCAGCCAGGGCGGTGGAAAGCATCCCACGGCTTTGCATTGTGCTTATTGAGACTTTAGATTTACAATACACATGTTGCGTCCATCTCCACCCCAGCAACTGTTCTGTCTTATACACGAAGTCGCTGATCGCTGCGCACAGGCAGCACAATCTGGAAAAGCGGGGAGACAAGAGGGGCGACACCTGCTGCTGGTTTCATTGTGCTCAACTCCTGTCATCTTCACACTTTGGCTTCCTTCTAAAGACATAAAACGCATCACGAACACACCACCAGGCTTTAACGCTTTCCATTTTGACACAGACAGATGCTGCCTCCTCCCTACGCAGGAGTGAATGAATGGATGAGCAGCCAAACGCATCAAACATCAACTATAAAGACAGTTTTAGGTATTAGCCTGTTTATGTGTTGATTATCTGACCCTAATTGTCAAGAACAATTGAATTAATTCAATCATGAAACTGTTAATGACAGTGCACAACACTGCTGCAACTGCCTGAGCAGCGAGCACAGCCTGACACGCCCATGTCCAGATGTAGCTGTTCAGCACCAAAGCGAAGCGAAACCAATATCCATCCAAACAATTAAACATACACTCACATAAATATAGAATAGTAAAAGGTGACTTAAAGTGGGAAGAAAAAAAGCAGAGAGTCATGAGTTCTTACTTTTCTGTCTGTCACTTCTTCCCCTACAGCCTCCACCACCCCGGAGCACTCCATTCCCGGGGTGACCGGCGGGGATGGCAGCCGGTCGTACAGCCCCTGTCTGGCCATCAAGTCGGCGAAGTTCAGCCCGCAAGCCTTGACCCGCACCAGGACCTCACCGGCCTTGAGCGCCGGCTTGCCTTTCTTCACCTGCAACTTCACTTTATCATAGCCCCCGTAGCCGGTGAGCACCAGAGCGCGGTAGGTGAACGCCTCCTCCTCGGGGACCTTCTCGGTGGTCGCCGCAGGGGTAGCCGCTGCTTCGGCGGCAGCGGCGGGAGCGGACTCCGTCTTGGGCGACTCGGTTTTGGGCTCCTCCGCTGGTTTGGTCTCCTGCTTCTGGTCCACGGCGTTTTGCTGCTGGGCAGGTGCGTCCTCTCCAGACATTGTGCAGGGAGCTGTGAGACACTGGTGAGTCTAGGAAAAAAATACTTAGAGCCTTTTCACTTCTTGTGCTTTTGTTGCCGTGGACGGGCGTGTTGTGTGGCTGCGTCTGCTTGCCTTTGCAAAATCAAAGAAAGTGCGAGAGTCAGAGCTTCTTTTTCAGCAGTCTTGCATGGAGACACAAACCCCGACCAAGTGGGCTGATCAGTGGCCAGTGGCTGTCAACGCCGCGCTCTGACAGAGTGTGTGAGTGGGACGAGACAGAGGCAGGCTGGAAAACACGGAGAGCTGATGAAACTCCGGGATTGGCGTGTGTGATCGGGTGGGTTTGGCTCTTTGGGGTAGGGCTTTATGTTGAGCCTATATTGCATCAAGCAGAGAGGTGATTTGCAGAAATGTCCATGATGGCTGAAAGGCAAATAAAGTTGAAACCAGCCCTTTGCAAAATCTGTTTATTGCTGCAAGTCTCAATTAGATTATTAAGTTGATGTGGTTAGAGGAAATAAATAGCTGCCAAGCATAGAAAAGTTTCTAATAAAGCCACAGATTAAGATGATTATAACTGAGAGACAAAAGATGCCACTATAAAGTCAATATTGCACATGAATATTTCATTTTGGGGCTGTTGTTTGTCATGCCATCAGAGTACAGTGCGCCTCTGCCCCTCAGATCTGATGAATTATACAAGTTACTGACACAGTTAATGAATTAATATGTCTTTCATCAAGCCTTGTTTGCTTACTTCTGGCTGTTTACCGCCGCATGTTTCACAGTGAGGGTTGTGTTGCTGGAACAGTGGGAGCCAGAGGAAACGTCTGTTTATGCTGCCTGTTCTGCAGTAGGATTTGCAGGAACTTTGGGCCTGCGTATGGTTCATTGTTGTAACTTCCCTGAAAAGGCAGCTCAGAAAAATATGAGCTTGCACTGAGGTCACGCCAGCTTTTGATTAAACGATATAACCTGCTTTGTATTATTCAGCCTCATCCACGGCCACAGGAGCCAGATGAACTTCTCCATCAAAAGCTGATACACAAGGGCACGGGGCCTGTCATAAAATTCACAGGTTTATTATGTGTGTTGTGGAAGGCCAGTGTGAACGAAACACATGCAAAACGCACTTTTATAGTGAACCTTGTTTCCGTGTTATATGTGTCACAAAATGAAACCATGAGTCTGTTCACATTTTCCAGCTTTGTGCCTTCAGAGCTGAAAAAGACCAGCTCTGTGTCTATTCAGGGGCGAGACCACAAGAGGAGTGGTGAGACACCTTGTGGCCATAAAGTGCCACTCAGCAACTTCTGATGCTAAATGTCCCAATCAATATCCCACAGGGGGCTTAATGATGTAGGATGCAAGCATTATTGATCTGCCGCTTTGACACAGGCAAAATGTTACAAGGCAGACTGTCTGTTCTTCCCCGCCAACTGCACCCAGCCACTCTGAATAAACATCAGTCTGCTGCGGGTGCTTGTAGAGTGGCTCTCCTCCTCATTAACTCTGACAAGGCTGCTATGGTAATCTACCGGCGAGGCCTAGTCAGGAAAATGACTTGGACTGCAGGTTTGGATTAAAAGAGAAGCATAATGTAAAAGTTTTCCTCATTAGTTTCACTGTGGGGCCAAGAAGAAAATTTCAGACCATGTTCCAGCAGCTAAACAGGGTTTGAAAACGTATCCATCACAGAAAATGTATGTGGTTAAAGGAGCACAGGAGTAGCACACAAGAACAGAGATGCGCTCTGCGTTGGACACCTGGTGTAGTCTGGAGACTTCCTCTTTTGTCTAAGTAGGTTACTGAATGCATAATTTTGCTCAGTGGTGTAATTCGGGCTGAATAAAGTACAGTGCCACCGCTCTTCCAGGCAGCATGTCTGGACGGTCTCTGAGGATGTGTGTGTGTGTGTGTGTCTGAGCTACAAACACAGATATTTTCATCTCTATTAAAACTGGGCAAACACTGGGATTTACAGCAAATCTAGAGAAAGGAATAATGGCAAACCGTGCAAATCCCACAGATGCAGTCAGCATGAATTTTACCGCAAATGTGAGAAATACTAACACCCTCAGGTTTAGTGGCTGTGGTGAGTTATCTGCCTATTACTCAAAGTATTACAGAGTCCAAATGTCTTATTGGTCTGTTCAGACTGGGTACACAAACATAAATGTTCCTCTTTCGCGTTTTAACACAACATCCTTGAACAGGATGCTGAATCCCTTTCTGGGCTGTTTGTGAAGATATGTTTATGTGCTATCTTGTTAATCATCTTGTGATGCCTAAAACCACAAGACCACTTGAGAGGTCCAGAACCTCATGTCTGGATCCACTGTGCTGAACCTGCAGCTCTAACTTCCTCCATGAAGAATATTTGTGCGTTCCTCACTGCACCAGCTTCATTCTCTCGTCCCATCAAACTTGCCCCTCATGAGGGTATTACAGGCCTCAGGTGTTGCAGTTGCAGTTGGCACCAATGGTACACTGGAAATAATCTGTTTAGTTTGAAATGTTAAGCACACGTGCTACTGTCTTTTGCAGAAGTTAAATTGAAGCACTGAGTTTGGAGGAAGCTTTCTTCATTTCACAGTGAGGTCTATAAGAGCAATCAATTCTGCTTGGCACGTTTACAGAAAGTGAGAGATTAGAAACCAGAAATCACTGCATGCTGGCTCTTAACCAATTCAATCTGGTCCTTGAGTCATTTTTTTCCCGTTGCATTTACCCTCCTGTTGAGAGACCTGGCACCATCGTCTCTGCTTTACTCCGGCATCAGTGTAATGAGTTTACTGGTGGAGTACAACATCCACCGAAGCCTCTCCAAGCACAGAACTATTCAGCACAGTCATACTGATATACAGGCGATGCAGAACAATACAGCCACCTGCTGGCAGGTGCGGCAGATTGTGTTGAATAGTCAGCACGAGAGTGAGTGTAATCCGCCCACCATTTACGCATTTATGTGACTGCTTTTTTAAACGGGAAAGTGTCATTGGCCTTTGTAGTTTGCGAAATGCCCGACACTGTCTGCTTGATTTTTCACGTCCCTTATGTCCAGCTGAAAAATCCAGTATCTTCAACAAGGAAAACACCTCACCAGAGGCAGGAGATGCAGCCAGTAAGCAAGTGAAATCAATTTTAATTGATATGGGAAATGTCTAATGTATTCAAGACCAAAATGAGGAACTGGAGCAGTTTCCTGAGATTCCTGCTCAGTCCACATATGAAAAAACAACAACATATTTTAGTCTGTGTCCCATGATGTCTGAGGGGTTCTGGGCTAAAATATACAGAAGTCTGCACTAATAATAAATACATACTGCCACCTGCTGTTGACTCCAAGACAGAGCAGCGACTTTGACTCTAAAGGGTCAGTTCCCCCAAATCGCAAACAACTTATCCCAACTCTCTGAAACGTCATTACAGTGGAGGTGAATGGAAAAATCAAAAACGTGAAACTGTCAGTCTCAGCAGCAACATCTCGCTCCAGTAACAATGCAGAGAGAGAGACGATAACTGTGACTGACGCACATATGAACCCTGACAAATTACTGATGTTAATATTCATATGAGAACTCATATTGTAGCTCTGATACTTTCAACTCTTTCAATTGTAATCTCGAGTGGTATCATACACATGAATCTATATTGACTGCACGAGGTGGAAATATAGGCAGTGGACACAAACTGCAGTTTTTGGATGTTCTGGAAGTGGCTTATTTTGACATTTAAGTTTTCAGGGTTACAGGAACAGACAATATTACAAGACATGGAGAAGAAAAAAAAAAAAAAAAGTAGCAAAAGTGACAGACCCAGTCCACAATAACCAACATGTAAAGAAAAGCTGCCACAGAATTTTGACTGTGCTTGAAATCTAAACAGGCACTCCATTGATTTTTGTCCAAAATGTCCAAACAAGGTTTTTGGAAGTCATCATCCAAACTAACCTTAATTTAATTAATCCACTGAGCACAGATTCACAGGACACATTGCATCTACCTATTCTGTCAAACCAGGAACTACAGTAGCGGAGAGGGATGGTTGTAACACATTGTAACAAGAAGTTACAAATCAGCTGATTTACCCTATACATGCTCAATTGAGTCCTTATTCCACATGTGAGGAAGTAGCAGCCTGTGACAGGCAGTTTTACAGGGGGAAATGAATTTTGAGGTAAGAAAGTATTTTTTATTTGTTTTTGATATTGTTACTGATACGTATTTGATAGCATGGACTGTGTTGCATGTTTATTGTTAGTCTATGTAGATTTTTTTCATGCAAGTTGTCAGTGCTAATATTTTAGCTGTTGGCTGTAAGGTAAGCTAGGTCGTTGGCTACAAGAGTCTGGGTTAGTTGTAAACAACAATACACACACACACACACACACACACACACACACACACACACACACACACACACACACACACACACACATATTCAATTGCTGAAGCTGGTGCACATTTTGTTCAGTTTTATAATGTTCAAATGTCTTATAACTACTATGACTGACAGTAACTAACATGCTTGACTCTCTCTCTCTCACACACACACACACACACACACCAATTATGATAAAAACTCATGTTGTTGAATAAAAAGCTTTCAATATTAAATGTTTGTCATGATCCTTAGAATTATATTGTATTTCTCCCCCAGGATATGTTACAACTAACCTGGACTATGGGCTGAATTTTAACATTTCACTCCTTGTGTTTGAGACTGAACCATTAAGCAGCAGACACATGTGACTAGTGTGCACTACATTCTGAATGCACTGGCTGCTCCCCCGATAAACATAAAATCAGAGTCAGAGGGATTGCTCAATCAAACCAGCCACCCAGGACTTCCATGACTTTGACCCCTGTGCAGTGCTCTCTGCCATTCACATTCACATCACTTGTAAAATTGTTCAGCTGCGTGACGTCCCTGCAGCAAATCCAAAATCATTCACAATGTGGTTGTATGTGACACTATAGAAGCCAATGTTACACAATTTGTTCATGAAAATAAAAGATTTTTAGTCTCGAGACCAATTTGTTAAATTAAATCTCTATGGGACATAAAAGCTCCTTTCTAATGAGTGTGCAAATTCCCGTAATGGTTCAGAGCACAGTACATTTAATACCAGTCGTGTCCAGCAGGAGGCAGTGTCGGTCTTCAGGGGAGAGAGATGACTCAACAGTGTTGACCTGTCCTGGCACGTGGTAGCAGCGTCATTCAATGATCTCATTCACAAAACCATTAACTCCTCTGTTGGGGGGCACAACAGCTAAACTCAAGGCGATGAGACCCATAAAGACAACCCAGTCACCTCTGACTGCTGAGTTTGATGGACTATTTTATCTGGGTGCACGCTGCATTTATTGTATCTCCATTAAGAAGTCATGTTGGCACTAAATCAAGAGGCGTAATGCGCAGAGGATTTATGCTGCTTTCACAACAGTGATAGAGGAAAATAGGTCTTTAGTGATTATCACTCAAACAGCTGCCACTATTAACATATGAATTATAAAATCAACATAATTTACAAGCACTTTTATTTAAAACGTTCACGCCTCTAATTAGAAATTAAAGCTACTTTTAAGTCTATCATGATGTGAAGATTTCTAACATATTACTGAACTCCATCATATTCCTGAACACCAGTCCTCGGGCAGAGCAGTTCATCACGGCATTCAGGACTGAAGTAATGAAATTATCACTCCACACCCTGCCCGCTGACAGAAGTCTGATTTATTCACTGTAGTGTCTGTTTATTGGATGAATCGAACACCTGAGCTGCAGGAGCAGAGGTGACTGATGAGAACCAGAAATCTACCCAGTAGCAGCTGCAATGAGGGCTTTCACTACATGGCAGCAGCTACATTACTGAACTGTTTGTTTTTGTGTATAGAAAAATACCACGGCAAAAGTACAAACAAGGCCTGATGTGTAGGCCTACCTATAATAGATCAATTGAATTAGAGTCGACCAGTAGGTTGAAAAAAGTACGACATTTTAGTGTCAGAATTAAATAAAAGATATAATTATTAATATCAAACCTTATGATAAGGTTAGAACAGGAGTCCCTCTGTTATAACAATCCATTTATCAATGTTATTGACAAATTACAAGGATGCCAGCAAAGAGGATATAAGGTCACTATGAACACTTTGTCCCGCAGATGCTTTATTTCCCATAAGAGCAGCCTATTAAATGTGAGTGATGTGACTCAGACGAGAATATTAGGAAGGCGTGGCCAGTAATCAAAGTACCGGAGTTACCAGGGAGGGCTGCGCGCGTCCTGACTGAGGTTTTGGTCGCCGACACAGTCACACAGACTCTTGTCAGAGAGACCGGAGGGCTGCGCGTCGGACAGGAGGAGCTGGGTAAAGCGCACCGGCTCGGCGCATGTATTTGCCCGTTTTTCTTTCCAGCCTTCGATTCCGCCGCGTCTCGTATCGGATGCTGGATGCAAACCATCCCCGCGTCAAGAATACACCTCTGACGGACAAACCATGGACAGTCTAGGCAGCCGCTGTAAGATTGTGGTGGTAGGGGACACGCAGTGTGGGAAAACGGCACTGTTGCACGTTTTTGCCAAGGACTGTTACCCAGAGGTAGGTCTGCCAAAACTTCGTGTTTTTATTCTGCAGAGGAAGGAGATAGTTTGTGAATGAGTGACAAGCCCTGCTATTAAAATATATAATTGGGCAGCTCAACTTCAGCACTTGTTCAGCAGGTTTCATACACCTGCCTAAAGACAGACATGTTAAAACAGAGAGAGGGAGAAAGCTGGTGGGGAGGAAACTGTAATGAATGCCTGTAAAACCCCAGTAACAGTCCTGTAATGCCTAAACTGACTTTTATTGTGTCTGTAGTGCTGCCCATAAAACTTTAAGGCGTTGTCTTCATGAGCTACAGTATCACTAGCCTATATATAATATCCTCAAAAGGGATTTGCAGCTCTAGCTTTGCTGTGAAATGTTTGCCAGTATTTTGTTTGACAGCTGCTTTGTTTCAAATATGATATTCCCACCAGTCTACTCCTCTGAAGCCTGTGGCTGTGTAAACACAGGCTTATCTTGTCCCTCTTAATTGGATAACTCAAATAAATCCCTTATTTTCAGAACTACGTGCCCACGGTGTTTGAAAACTACACAGCCAGTTTTGAGATAGACAAGCAGCGGATTGAGCTGAACATGTGGGACACGTCAGGTAAGACAGTTTCATGTCTCTGTCTGCACCGTCCCTGACATCAAATCAATCCATCCCTGCTGTGCATGGTGCCTGTCGCTGGTTGCGACCGTGGGAGGACTGCCTCCAGCTCCCCTCTCCAACTTTTCCAGCAGTCACCTCTTTGACAAATTGCTTTGACCTAGCCAGTTTCAGATGGATGTCTTTGTTTTTAGGGCTTTTTTTTTTTTTTTTTTTTTTTTTTAGCTTGGGGCATCTGTTATTTATGATCTTTGTCTTTGCTCTAAACTTCGGTGCCAGCCATGTCTCTCCACTGTGTCTTGTGCTTGCATTCCACCCTCTCCTCTGTCCACTGTGTGTGGCTGGTGCTTCCCATGCTCTGGCCAGGGTCAGGCGACTGCAGCAAGGGGTGGGGGATGGGGTGGGGGGGGGGCATGGATAATTCAGACAGGATGTGCCTCTCTGCCTCTCTAACTGCCCTAACTGTTTAAGTGTTTTCATCCAAGAAAGACAAATGTATCGGGCCAGATAAGAGACATGCTGTCTGCTAATGTAATAAAGATTCTTCGTTTGCAGACAGTCCGCTCTGATATTAAAGGTTAGCTTCCTTTGCAGATTTTATTGACTCATTAATTAATGAATCATTAATGTAAAGAGAGTAATGTTTCCAGAGTTTACACAGCTGGCCACCACACCTCCCTCCTATAACCCTGAAAGAAATTCATTCATCAAGGTTTCAACTGAGAGTTTCAGTGATTTGTGATTTTGTAGATGTTTTTTCAGGGTCTTTTCCTCCCTGAATAAAATTCTTGAGGTATTAAAAATGTCAGATTTGATCGTGCTGATATGCTCTGAAAAACAACCACTACTGACGTCAGTGTAAAAACATTGAAGGGAATCCATGTCAGCAGTGTTGTGCCTTCAGACGGGGACGTTCTCTGCAAACAATCCATGCTTTGTGTGCTCAATGATCTTTTGTGTGATTGGGCTTCAGCGTATGAATGTGCGTCTTGCTTGGGAAAGTGGTATAGTCTTGGCTACCAGGCGGCCAGTAGCATCAGTGAGGCTCCATGCTCCACTTTCATCCCAGTCTTGTCAGCATGGATGGATTTACAGCTCTGAGCCACGCTGAGACTCTGCATCTCATCGTATAGTCATCTCAGACCGGAGGCTCGTGCCAGCTAACTGCCCGGCGACACTGCTGACCAGTCAGAGGACTGAGCGGGATCTTCCCGGGGGGAATTCCTTCTTTTTTTTTACCATAAACATTCCCAAACACTAAAACTAACTTCTGGGACAGATGATGGGAATATTTTTACGTTGCACGGTCAGTTCGTGAAAGAATGTTGTTTTTTTTGGACCTCATGTCGACCCAGTGAGTAAATCAGCTTTAGCCTGTCAAGTCAGGGGTCGGGGTCCTCTGGGGCTCGGGGCCACATCTTAGAGGAGTTCCTTATCTGTTGGCGGTAACAGCCTAATGATGCAGTGGGAATGTTGTGCTTCTGTCCATCTTTAAAACCCCAAACCACCTTTGGCAGTGTTCGTCTTTAATCTTCAGCCAGGAGCCGCCCACCTCACAAACAAACTGACGTCACCCAACCCACAGGGCAAATGTGTGTGTGTGTGTGTATGTGTGTGTGTTTCGTAAGCATGCGTGCCTAAGTGCTACTGTGTGTGCTTTCAGAGGTCCTTGTGTGGTGTGGCATTATTCACTGATTCACAGCAAACACAGATGTTCATATTATCTCTCAACAAGAAAAATAATTGGCTCACACTTATATGAAAAAGGCTTTCATCTGAGGAAAAAACCACGTCTCCCATCGTTCCTCATTTAGAATCTGATTTTTTTTTTATTGCTTTCCTCGTCTCCTCTTCCAGCCTCTTCCCTATTCTAGCTGTGCATTTTTTATTTTTTTTTTTGGTAATTTTCTTTCATGTACCTAAGCAGCCGCAGCACCAGTTCAGCACCCAGGCTCTCAGGGCTCATTCAAACCGTCATTAAATAACAGAGAAATTTCAGACTGAAATCAATTTAATTTCAGTGAAATTGCTGCAATCAGTGGATTTACCCACAGATTTAAATTGACAATATGTGACGCGCTTTGTCGCAAAGTTAAACCGTGGTAAAAAAAAATTGACCCGTGAATTCACTCTGTGGGCCCATTACAAAACCATCTTGACAGTTCTGACCTTTGAGGGAACAGAGAGCTGGAATAGGAGCCGTGCCAACAGAGCTTTCCTCGTCTTATCCATTGCGCCATGGACGGAACACAACCAAGAGCATCCTCTTCGACCTTCGTGCGTCGACCAAGCTTCCACTACCTGCTATTTCCAGAGGATGTGGACGTGAATTTCACTGCCATTTTCTGTTGGCGCAACTACAGTCCACTAGTTTCATTTCAACCTGACATTTGTATCAGTCAATCCTCCATTTGCTCTTCCTAAGCCAAAAGCCATCCCCTCCCCAGATATACAGCTGTTTTGTTTTTTTTTTTCCTCACAACCAAGCTCACAGCCTCCTCACACAAAGTATTGTCTCCCTTTTAATTGCTGGTGAAGTCTGCCTGCTGCGGTCTGGCTCCGTTCATAAAGCTTTATTGATCGCTATCCCAGGCGAGGCTATTTAAACAGCTTGCGTCTCGCGTGGTCCACATTTCTCCAACATGGGTTAGCTGTGTATTGCTATTAAAGACGCTCCTGGCATTCATTGTTGCAGCATGGAAGTCGACTATTGATTACTTTGGTCTCATTAACTCCGGTTCTTCCGCCGGGTCTAGTCCTTACAGGATGGATGAGAATCGGGGGGGTGAGGTGTTCGTTTAATTGAGGTCATTACTAAGCGTAAATCTGTGTGTCCGTGCACCCGTGTGTTTGTGTTGCATTTCCCTGAACGAATAAGTGTTTTAAGAAGCGCTCAAAAGAAACAGGGAGGTCTTATGGCCAGAGGGCAACTTTGGGCTGCGCTTTGTATTCTGCCCTGCGTTCAGTCCCGACCATGTGGAGAATTAAATCAATTAGAAAGTGACTGAATGGAATTCAAATGAGAGAAACCACTGCGTGCATCCGCATCTGCCTTACACCTTTGAACAGCCATGGTGTAGCCTGTTTAAGCATTGCATGTATCTGCGTCTTTTAAGTGGTCAAAATGTCAGCGCAGATTGGAGATAACTTGTGTAAGGGCCATTAGGTATTACTGTCGACGCTCACGGGGCCCATTGGTAGTCAGCCAGTCTGGGCTTTCAGCGAGCCTGAGGCATTAATGCACTCTTCCTCTCTTCCCAATATGGCAAGGGTGCCTGGGAAAGATTCCCTCTAGCCTTGGCCTCAGACTAAAATCCCACTCAGAGGTGTACGTGCTGCTTCTTACAAGTCCAAGTCAGGACAGGCCGGGTTTCCCCTGAACTCAGTACAGCTGTACTTTCCTGTCTCTTTCTGTTTCTCTTCTCTCTGCTGTCTCTCTAACGCCCGGCCTGATTCTCACATGAAAACTGGAACTCTTACATTGTGTTTAGTCATGCTAGAGTGTGCTTTCAAGTGGCAATCCACAGGAATCTTGTTTTTCTTTCTTCTTTTGCTGACATCTTTGCACTAATCTCTCCTGCTGTGGTGTTTTTTTGCAATGTACCCCCCCCCCGAAAAAAAAAAAAAACACTCCTCATTCAAACCACGTGCACATCACTTATCCCGAGTAGTTCTGTGGATGGAATTTGAGCTTCTATTGCTTTGTCTCATCACTGACGCTGGCTACTGCTTCCCATTCGAACCGCTCAATTTATTATTTTTTTCTCTATTTATTTCCAAACAAAGTGCTGTTTCTGCTGCTGGGAACATGAAACGCATCACTTGCTGTGCAGTGGAGGATTTCTCCTCCAATAGACCTGCCTGACACCGGCTGTGCACAACAATAAATACAAAAGCTTTCATGAGCTAGCTACAGGTTGAGGCACTATTTTGCTGCACAATCGGAAAAAATATTTATTTGTTTGAAAAATGTCACGGAGATTCTTAAATAAAATTACCACTCACATGAATGTCAGAGCCCCTTTTTGCTCTATTGAGTCTTCCTCTGCTAGAGACATCTTTTAATGTTTTGTTGTGACTCATCTCTCGTGACAGAGCTGTCTCGCAATTTCACAGTCAGAGGTGTGATTGTTTTTGACTTGAGGGACGATAACAAGACACTGCAAGTGTGTAACACCAGTCCCAGTGCCAGCACTCACCCAGAGTCACAGTCTGGCTGCCTCTCCTCTCCTCTCAGTCTCAGTCTCTGTCTCTGTCTCTGTGTCTCCTCCCTCGCTCGCTCCTCTTGTACAGACTTTCCAACATTCCCCGTGTCTTTGTGCTCTTTCAGCTGCACATTCTCCTCGCGCTGGACCAGTCGGGCGTCCAGAGGCCTGTAAAAACACGCTGAGTTCACTCGGCTTTCTGTTCCTCAACACTTTCTGCTTGATTAATCTTTAATAGAGAATAAGGGAACTACAACCAGTACACAGAGCAGAAATAAAAATCAACAACCCCCCCCCCCCCCTCTTCTTTCTGCCCTCAAACCTCGAAAGGATGCCCAAACCAGTGCTATCAGACCTGATTGGATCTGACCATGTTGATCACAGGAGATAACACTATCTGCTCTTATTGGTCCGTTGTTTGGCCTCTCTGAATCTCCGCTGTAAAATCACACTCTGCATTAAATCATTAAAAAAAACCCACATTCTCATTTTCCTCAAAGGTTTCCAGTTTGAGAAATACTGTTGAGGTTGGTTGCTGCGAAGCCAGCTGCATATTTAACCGCAGACTGTAAATATGCCTTTTGTTTATTTTTGTCAGCATCCTGAAGGGGAGGATGATGACATCCTTTCACCTGCTGTTTACAAGCCTCAATGTATGCGCCGAACCGAAAGCCCTGAAAGTTACTCTTTGCCTAACCAGCCCAGGGCAATAACTGCCTGAGCAAAACCTGTTTTGATGATGCATAGCAGGCTGGAAGGCCCCCCCCCCCCCC